TTCAAGGATTCGAGTAATCCCATACTGCATGTGCCTTGGGTCTTACCCTGGTGACCGAGACAGGCCATCCCAACACTTGGCGGCACACCAGTATCAGCCTTGACATGATAAATCTCCCCAGACTTATCCAATGGCTGTGAACATTTAATACTAACACGTGTCTCATTAAGTGTCCAGTTTTAGGGTCTTACACATAATTATACCAAACAACATGAATTAAACATGCACTTTATTTATTTATACTAAATATCAAAAGTACATCAAATCGGATTGAAGCTAAGGGCATACAAAACTGTCTAACAGCTCCCACTTGCACTTAGGTCCAATTTGGTACAAGCCAGAGTCCCATACTTTCCATATGTTTCTCAAACACCTTCTGTGTCAGTGGCTTAGTCAATGGGTCTACCACATTATCCGCTGATGCTACATTCTGAATAAGGACATCCCCTCTACCAACGATCTCCCGCAATACATGATACTTCCTCTCGATGTGCTTTGACTTCGAGTGGGCCCGAGGCTCTTTAGCCTAGGCAATCGCTCCATTGTTGTTACACAATTACGGGATGGGTGATGTGCTGGACGAAATCACTCTCAATTCGTGTATGGATTTCTTCATCCACACGACTTCCTTGGCAGCTTCACTTGCGGCAATGTACTCGGCCTCAGTTGTGGAATCTGCAATGGACCCCTGTTTGCTGCTTTTCCAGCAAACAACACACGATCCTATCATGAAAACATACCCAGATGTAGACTTTCTATCATCTGGATCCGACTAGAAATCGACATCGGTATACCCTAGAACTTGTAGTGAACTACCATCGAATATCAGACAAAACTCTTTTGTCCTTTAAAGGTATTTAAGTATGTTCTTCACAGCAGTCCAATGCTCCTGCCCTGGGTTAGCTTGGAATCTACTTACTACATTCACCGCCTGAGCAATGTCTGGGCGAGTGCACAACATGGCATACATGATGCTCCCTACGGCTGAGGCATAGGGAACGTCTCTCATGCCCTCAATCTCTTCAGATGTCTTGGGAGACATCTTCTTGGAGAGAGTGACTCCGTACCTAAAAGGAATGTTTCCTTTCTTGGAGTTCTCCATGCTGTATCTTTTGAAAATTTTGTCAATGTAAGCAGCCTGGGATAATCCAATTATCCGCTTCAATCTATCTCTATAGGGTCGAAGACCTAGTATATATGAAGCTTCTCCAAGATCTTTCATGGAGAACTGCTGTGATAGCCATACCTTGACCGCAGTCAACATTCCTACATCATTCCCAATGAGTAGGATATCGTCCACATACAACACCAAAAATGTGATCTTATCCCCACTGGTCTTCTTGTAAACATAGGGTTCATCCGAATTCTGCTCAAAGTCAAATGTTTTGACTGCAGAATCAAAACGGATGTTCCAACTCCTAGAAGCCTGCTTAAGTCCATATATGGATCTATTAAGTTTACATACCATGTGTTTCTGACAAGCAGCAATGAATCCTTGCGGCTGCTGCATGTAGATATCTTCACTAAGATCTCCGTTCAAGAACGCGGTTTTAACATCCATCTGCCAAATCTCGTAGTCATGGTATGCTGCTATAGCTAGCAGGATTCTAATGGATTTGAGCATGACCACGAGCGAAAAGGTTTCCTCATAATCGATGCATTATTTCTAAGTATACTCTTTCGCCACCAAACGAGCATTGTAGGTCTTAATCCTGCCATCGGGGCCATTCTTCCTCTTGTAGATCCACTTGCAACCCATTGCTTTTACCCCTGAGGGCAGATCTACTAGAGTCCAGACTCCATTGGCCTCCATCGAGTCCATCTCATCTCTCATGGCCTCCACCCACTTCTGCGAATCTATGTCTAACATAGCTTCCGCGTAAGTTACGGGATCCTCCTCACTAGTCAAGGCTTCCACCAGGTAACTATCCTGGTCATAACCATATTGGACTGGTGGCCTGGATACCCGAGTGGATCTTCTAGGTTGGTCACTACCTGGAACTTTTTGGGACATCTCCCACTGCTTCTGAGCTCTCCTCATCAAGAACTATTTCCTGACGATGGGTGTCCAGGATGTATTCGGTTTCTAATAATTGAGTGTTTCGACTGCAGAACACTTTTTGCTCACTTGGGTTATAGAATAGATAACCCACCGAATCTTTTGGGTAGCCTATAAATAGGCAACGACTGGTTTTGGATTCCAACTTGTCTGCACTTGTTCTTTTAATGTGTGTAGGACAACCCCAAATCTTCAAGTGTCTTACACTTGGCTTCCTTCCGGTCCATAGTTCATATGGAGTTTTCGGA